GAAGTGAGCAGCACCTGGTATTGCTCTGTTTTTTGTGCATGGGAGAGGAGACAGGGATAGACAGAAACAAGCCGTATTCAGAAGGCAATGAAGAACCTGTGCATACCCAAGGTCTCTTGCAGCTATGGAGTCACCCCATGTTGTAGGCTGAGAGCCCAGAAGGTCTTTGAAAGAGAGAGGTGGTTTTTCAGAGAGCCTTTTGGAGTGCACAGGCTGTGTACTGGGACTTCTGCAATGGCAGGTCAGTAAGAGGCTAGTTCAGGAGCAAAGCGTCCTCCCTGCTGGCCAAACTTCCCAGGAATGTACCTGGGAATGGTGCTGTCCTGCCAAGAGAAACTGGTCACTGGGAGTCCAAAGTTTGCTCTCAGGATTTGCCAAGAAGTCCAAAGCCCTCTCAGGATTTGCTGGGAATTGGCTGGATTAAACCCACAGGTACTTTATAACCACTGAAGTTACACATGGTGGAGGGCTGCAGCAGACTGCTATGGCAGCTCTAGTGCAAAGCCTATGAGATTTACTTGAGGAGCAGATAAGGCCATAAGTTACCTGTTCTCATAACCCTGTCACCTTGAACATCACATTTGATGTCTGTGTTCTGCCTGTCCAGAATTCAGGGGAAAAGCCACAAAGCCAGAATGGGTGAGTGGATATGCAGTCCTCATGAGATGTGCTTTCATGGTCTATCTGTTCTTGTCTGTCTGTGTCTCACAAAAGGAACAGGCAGGTAAGTGATGGACATAGTCATCTTTACAAGCTTTGTTTACATTTCACCAAATGAATTCAAAAGATCAGGGAAAGAAAATGTGCAGCTTTTAAACTTCTGATGTACACTGAAGGCCAGGTGTATGTGGTAGATTTATCAATTAACTTCAATGGCAAAAACCCAAACAAAATGCACACAAAACCTCACAAACAATAAGTTGACAAAACTCTGCCTGGGAAAAAGCCAACGCTCACGTATTTCACGAGACATGACACAAGTCCTTCAGAAATTGCTGTCTGTCTCATGAAGAGACAGGATTTTCTAAAGCTTAAGTAAGAAAGAGAGTCTGTAATTTGTCTTTCATTTTACTTTATTCAGTACAAATGGAGACAACAGAAGAGAATCTTGGTTAGCTGCAGTCAGTGAATCCAAACTGAATTACACAAACCGAAAGTCCAACACCTGGTTTTCTAATCCATAGAAGAAAAGGGATCTCTCAAAGCTGGTTGATCTGCCATCTGGCAGCTATTTCCTGTATTTGTCTCTAATACTGGGCTTATTTTTGCTGGCACATTTCCAGAGTCGAATAAAGGAATTTATGATGAATATTTTCACTTTTACCATTATTTTCACTGCAAGGAACTTTTAAACCGTACGTTTTTAAAAAGCCTGTAAAGGTTTCCTTTCTTGCTTTAGTTTTGGTCAGCAAAAATTACAGACAAAAGGTTTTAGGTATTTTTTTCTGAAAGTTGCTGATATTTTTAGATCAGTGGCAGGACTTTTGCTGCTCCTCTTGATGTCCCTGTGATCTGATTCGGCTTTGAGTCTCTTCCTGTTCCCTTCCACAATGTCCCACCTGATAGGTCTTCACTTGAAGATAAAGTCATTTGCTGCTAGCAAAACTGTGAGTAATAATGAGTGAGAATACTGGGAAAGAGCTTAACCATCCCTTCCTCCTAACTTCGGGGCGGTTCTCAAGTATTTAGTAAAAATTCTGCTCCTTTTTTCTTTGTTCTTCCCTTCCTCTTGTAATTTTCTTTTTTGTTGTTGTTGTTTGGTGTTCTGTTAAGTGAATTAATTTTCTGAAGTAGTTGGTTTCCATGTGATGATGGCAATAGAACTTAATGCTTACTGCTTTTCTGTGTTTCAGGAGGTGATTGTGAAAGCCTGGAGGCTGAGGCTGGATAGAGGGACTCATGTCAGTGACTGGAGAGTCCTTGCTGGAGAATGCCCTGCACTTGGGTGCCTCCCTATCTTGATGTGCAAGGCTTAGTCTTCTCACTGCAGCTCTAGGGCAGAGTCTTTGTACAGCTGATGCAGCCTCAGTTCTGGTAGGGACCTAGTGTGCTGCTTCATCAGAAGTAGTTGGTTAAGAGTTGGAGAGAGAAAAGGTGAAAGAAGAAGAAAAGTTAGGATGACAGTCTGGTCCGTTTGTGTTGGTGTACACCTCAGCATATGCTGAGGTGAAGGTCTGCTGCAATGTCATGTCTAAAGAGGGGACAGCGGCTGTCTGTTATGCGAAATGTCCTGAGACGTTATTGTGAGGCTTGCTTGGCTGTAGAGAATTGCTTCCCTCTTTCACTTCTTCCAATTACTATTTCCTAAAAAAGACACCAAAGGCAAATTTTGAAGGTGAATAACCAGCCTTTTGTGTATGTAACTAGTGTAATTTACTGACCAGGGAAACAGCAGGCCACATAGTAGACAGAAAAAGAACTGAGCAGTGGCTGCTGTAAGCTGAATAGTAAAGTATAGCAAGTGCTTTGCGGGTTACCGGGGGTGTTAGCATGAGTATGAGACCTGCTGTGGCACCAGATATAGGCTTTTGACCTTGGAAATGAGACAAGGACCTCAAGCCACAGGTTATTCACCCTGAAGTAGGGAGAACACCTGTGCAATATATCTTGTTTCTTCCTGAATACTTTAATATCACATTTCCTCAATGTCTGCTTTTTGGTTTCCATAGCTCATACTACAGAAGGCCTGAATACAACCTACCAGGAGCATATATTTGAAGCTTGTAAGGTAAGTAAGTTAACAAACTCACTTGCCTGCCTCTAAGAGCATCACCCAAGTGGGTCTATAATTACACTGATGCTTGCCCTGCCTTTTCTGGGTGTGCCTTGGTATTGGAGCAGTGAGCACTGGGAAGTCACTGTTCAGCCATGAGCTGGTGACAGGGAAGGAAGGTGACTTTGTCAAGGTCACTGAGTCAGCTTATGGCTGTACTTCTCTCACCCACTTGTCTTTTAAATCACTGATGAGCAAGTTTTTCATAGCACCGAGATTCCTCGACTTCACTCTGTCCTGTGAATAGCTGAAAATTGTGCTTGCAGAGTGAAGGCAATGGGCACAATTTCCAGATTTTGTTTGCACAGTGGTGCTTATCTGTGTGACAGCTGCCTGGGTCCTCAGCAGAACATTTGCTTTTCTTGCGAACTCACACCTCCTTCCCCCATCCCTTGCCTTTGCTTGTACAGAGCAATCAAATAAAAAAAGATCTTACGCAGTTGACAAAAAAATCAAGTATTTGTTCACAAAACATTTGAAAAGTCTTCCTTCAGGGTGTCTGCTCAGGGCTTGTTAATTAGGGGAGTAATGATGATTTCAGAGCCAACCCCCAATCTATTCATAAATTGTGTTGCAATTCCAGTACGGAAAAGAAGATCCATTTTGCCCCAGTGCTTGCTCATTATTTCACTCTCAAAGATATTCCATTTGTTTCAACGCTGATGTTGCAAAACAATACCCTTTAAGCTAATTGCTGTTGGAAAGGAAAGGCTCACTTTACAGTCAATGGTTTTGATGCTTTGGGTTGTTCAAGTCAGAATCTGCCTCTGTCTTGCCTTGATTGACAGGACACTTTCTATATATTTAAGCAATTAAGCAACCCAGTAGCAACCACTGGGGAGATCTACTGAGCACAAAACTGATTAAGATCACTGTGTAGGTCTCCTGCTGCTCACTCTGACTTCCTGAAACACCATCTGCAATTTGAAGCTGCAAAAGGAGATCTGACTCCAAGAAGTTAGGTGAGTGTGCTTCTGTGTTTGCTCCATGTCATGGCTCTGGCTCGTGAATAAAGAAGCAGGTTTTGCTAAAGTGGCAAAGAATAAATATTCAATTTGTTCTGAAGTTTGCCTTTTCTGGTTGCAGATGTCTGCTTTTAAAAATAAGGAACATTCACCTTTTTTTGCCCTGTTGAAGCTTAAGTATAAACAGACTGTTTTTCAATCACGTACAAGACTATAGTGTATGCATGGCAACATATATTGAAGCAAAATTCATGTGCTAATCTAAAACTGTATTTGGCAAATTTAAAGGATTTGGTTTAACAGAACCCTGGGGACTCAAACATCAGTCAGGTGAAAGGCAAGACAAACTCATTCAACTTAAATCTGTCCATCTGAGGATACAGGCCAATGCACACAAGTCTGTGTGCCTCATGCAGTACCTGACTTTCTCAAAATTAAATGTCAAGTCTGGGATTCTAGGTGGACGTTTTTAAATGCAGTGCAATTATGTGAAGCAGAAAATGGATCTTGTGGCTTAGAGATACTTCCCAGCTCTTTTTGTTTTCTGACAGAGGAAGTTTTCCAAAGGGACTGGTTACATTCTGCACTGAGACAGAAAGGCAGCAAGTATCAGAGGGACTTGGCTGATACTGGGCTCAGAGAGTGTGAGGAGTTTAAGCCTTGGTCCCTCGTTCCTGTGCTCCCTTGTCTAAAGAGTTCCATTCACCAGTTTAGCAGCCTTGCTTGGGTCTGAGCTGGCTGGTAGGGCAGTGTGTGCAGGAAAGACTCCCAGGCTCTCTGACTGCAGTCCTGGGAGTGGACCAGCACCAGTCCAGTGCTCAGGGTATTGGTAATGACAACTCCAGTAACACTTTTGGGAGGTGCTGAGATTATAGCACAAGTTCAGGGATGCTTGGCTCCTAACTTAGGCTAAAAGGTGAGTGGGATAAATCCAGAATTAAGTGCCTGAGTCAAAATGCTAGTGCTACATGCATACTGAACCTTAATGAATGCATGATGCTGCAGCTGCGCTGCCTTCCCCCTGTGCAGCAAAGCAGGGAACCTATTACCTCCCATAGGTGTGCCTGACAGACGGACAGAGCCCTTCCAGACTGACCTGCCAGGGCCACTACTGTCAGGGACTTCAGCCAACAACGTGTGTGTGCACTGAGAGAGAAGCCAAACGCCTACCTGCCTAGTGCAAGCTCAGGGCAACCCAAGTGGGATAGTAGGAAAGGTTATCTGCAAAGTGAACTTGCAATATAGAGATTTCTGTGGGCACTGGGTGGTGGCTTTTTCACTTCCAGGCAAAACCCACTGCTCTGCAGGGAAAGTCTGCAAGCTGATGTATTCTCTTACAGACATTTTCACTAAGACTTTCCACTTTTGGGTGAAGTGGTAGGTGGCCCCTTGTTCTTACATCTGTCCATCTTCTCTTGGGCAGAATGAGGATGGGCAATAGCATGTCTGAGGGGAGGAAGGGCAGCCCCAGCTTGAGCTGAGCCTGTACATTTGTACTTGAACTGTGCTGGCTCTTCCACCCCTCTGATTCTCTCCCTTTTGCCTCAGCATGAAGCTCCACCACCAGCTGCTGGGCGCTGTGCTTCTCCTGCTGCTGGCTGGCTGTGGCGGCGTGCTCCAGACCTCTGCCATCGACCTGCGGACCTTCATTGGCTGTGCTGTGCGCGAGTTCACTTTCCTGGCCAAGAAACCTGGCTGCAGGGGGCTGCGGGTGACAACGGATGCGTGCTGGGGACGCTGCGAGACCTGGGAGGTGAGGTTGTGCCGGCGCTGAGGGGGGCTGGCTGGCACCAACATCCCTGGGTACTGTGCTTCCCCATAGGTGATATATAGTACAGGTGCTTCCCCACCTAAGAAAAGAAACCCACCCAACATTAAGCAGCTTGCAGCTATATACTAAACAGGCAAACTCGTCCCGCTCCACAACCACCTCGCTACCACTGCCAGCAGTGTTTGCTGTCAGTTGTTCCCTCCCTCCTTCCACTGCCTCAAGGGGGCATGTGATGATATTAATGAAGCAGTTACGTAATACTCTCATTATGCAATTTGAAAGCCTCTTGCAGCTTGAACACTTACGGAGAGAAGGTCTTTGTTCCTTTACTGGAAGAAATTCCTTTGAGATGAAGATGGAGCTCCCAATTGATGGGTAATAGATTTTATTCCAAAAAACAAATCGCAAAGATAATGTCTGCTTCTAATTCAGTCCCGTTTTAAATCACAGCCCTGTATAAATATGAAGTGGTTATGTTTTGGGAGCATACGGGGGGGGGGGGGGGGGAGAAAAAAGCATAAGTTCCTCTACACATACTTCAGAGAACAAGTTTCTGACGGTCTTTGCCCTTCTGCCACTGGAATGCTCAAGGGGCTAGTCCCCATTTAATTTGTTCAGGGAACTCTCTCGTGACTCCAGAGGGATTTCATCCACATGAAGACAAGGACCCTGTAAGTGACCACGGGAGGATACATGGTCTTACGCCAGCTCTAACTGCCCTTTTCACTGCCTGCTAGGGTAAGGGGAAAGGCCAGCAGTGGCTAGATTGCCCTGATGGGGTGAGGTTCCTTCAAGGGACTTCTCATCACCTTGTTCCCCCTACTCTGAAGCTCCTCTGGCAGCACAGACATTGCAGACTTTCTTAGTGTACTTCAACACCGCTGGCATTTAGTTAAGCTGAACACATCCAGTTGTAGGCTCAACAGCTTCTAGAAAGCACCATGATGTATGTGGAGGGGGCTGTTGGGAAGAGGGATGCTGTTTGAATATCTTCTTGCTGAGATGTTGCATTTGTTCTTTTCCATGCTATCATTCTTGGTTCCCAGGGCAGGCTCTTTACACAGCACAGGGTGAAAGAAAGAATAAATTTAAATGTCTCCTGGTTGTGTTACCTTATGCTGTGTCCCATCTCACAAGTGAGTAGACTCCCATTCCTGTGTGTTCTGCCTCTTCTTGGAGTCTTTGGAAAATGGGTGCCCCTGTCAAGGAAAAACTCACTTTTCAGCAAAAGCAATGCCACTGTGGTACCACTTGGCAATGGGGGCTTCAGGACTTTCAGGCTCCCATTTTCTCTTGATGTCTGAGGTCTCTGGCCAAGCTGTTTTTCTCATGAGGAACTGCAGACTTCCAGGCTGGCTGCTGTGCCAGGTTCATCCCCCATGGTGTACTTCCATCGGGTGTTGTGGGATGCACAGCCTGACTGGGAAGACAGGTCTGTCTGAGAAAAAAACAGCCATTTGACACTTGGATGCATCTCTACTCTTAGGCAGCTTGTGCACAGGGAAGGGTTTCCAGCAGAATGCATTTTCTTTGGTGGACAATCAATCCTTTTGGAAAAAAGTAACTGCTTTTGGCAAACATGAGCATTTGGTTGAAACACTAATATTCTCCTGAAAGCCAGCTTTTTGGGTAGGCTTTTGTCTTCCTTCAAGCAGCTTTAATTGGAGCTTTATGTTTTAAACAAAGAGAAACATGCACATACACCCACTTTCCTCCATGGCAGGGCTCCAAGAAGCAAGTCTTGAAAGATGTAGCCTAAAACTTATTTACATGGTCCCTTCCACCTGATCCAGTGGCTCCCCTATTTACACTAAATCCCCCTGAGGAAACTGGAACACCAGATGTTTGTCTTGCTGCTTGTCTGAGGCCAGTATTCCTCCCTCACAGAAACCGGTGCTGGAACCACCTTACATTGAGTCTTACCACCGTGTCTGCACCTACAATGAGACAAAGATGATGACAGTGAAGCTGCCCAAGTGTGCCCCTGATGTGGATCCCTTCTACACCTACCCTGTGGCCATCCGCTGCGACTGCGACATCTGCTCCACTGCCACCACTGAATGTGAAACTGCCTGAGCTCTCCTTTCCCATGTCAAGTGAGGAGAGGCCAGCTTCTTCTCCGGCTTCTTCTCCCTGGTACCTCCAACATTACAGAGGGTGTAACTATGACAGTCAAGGATTTGATGATACCCTTTAATGATCTTAATGGTTAACTTTTCTGGGCAGATGAGGCTTAACCCCACTCCTCATGCTGTTCAAAGCATTACTGCTGTAGAAATGTAGTGCACAGCCTTATAATAGCAAATCCTGTGGTAAAAAATGAGGGAGGGGGGAAAAAGAAAAAAAAAAGGTGCCGTTTCCCTTCCTTAGAGGCTTTTCACACTGTGTGACCTTTTTCCATGCACAAAGCGCACATGGACCTAACAGTCACTAGGGGAGGGGGGGAAGCAGACCGCAGAGGCATCACCACCTCTGTAACAGCTTCTTTATTCATGTCAGGTTTTATTTCCTTCCCAGTAATGTAGATGCAATTACTAATATCTCCACCACCTCACCCCCGCCATTAGTTTTTCTTACCCTGAGGTCTATCAGGAGTAGCAGCCAAAGACAGAGCCTTAAGGCCAATGAAATGGAAATGGATACCCAAATTGCTACCTTGAAATCAGTGTGAATGCATACTCAGCCCTGACTTAACAAAGCACTTCAGCTCATGTTTAAGTGTTTTGCTTAATATCAATGGACTTTTACAGTTAAGCACATATTTCAGTGATTTGCTTAATTGGAGCTATATTGTTGAAAAAAAAATTGCCTTACCAAAGTCAAATCCTTGGAAAAAAAAACCCAACACATTAAATCTGCAGAACCAAAAGCATGTATCTTCCCACCTGCTTTTGTCCAGGGACAGAGGGAAACTGACTCCACGTAGAATCAGTGAGACTCTGCAGAGCCCAAGGAGTCTTTCCTGACAGTTTCCAGAGTCAGAGGGACCAAGACAAAATATGATGATTGTGGTTTGGGTTCAACGAGCCAGCCCCTGGCTGAGCTGGTGGGAAAGGGGGCTGTGAAGGGTGGTCTCACACTTCCCTGTGCTGCTCAGCTCCATGGAGACCTGCTCCTCTGTGGCTGCACACAGAGCTTGTGAGCAGTCAGATGTGCTCACAGGAAAGCTGTGGAATGGCCAGTAATGTGGCCAGGGTGGGTGAGACAAGCCCAGTTAGGAAAGAGAGCAAACATGCCAAAAGATGGTTCACACCTTCTCAGACCATTTACAGACTAGGGGACACCTGGGAGCTGCTGCAAGAGCCCTGTGGTCACCACAGCCACGTAAGTTGCCTTTGTGCTCTGGTTTCCACCTGCAGGAGGACAGATCCATATTCATCCCTCATCCTCCCCTGAATAAAATGGGAAATTATGTGAAAGGAGGAAGAGTTGCCAAGTGGGAGAGGTTCCAAGGAGATTACAAAACAAAGACACCTTCTCAGATAGCCATTAGGAGAGAACTGTTGCTGAGACTAATGTCTGCACCTGCCTTCCCTCAATTAAGTGTCTTGTCTTCTAGATGCAGTCACATTCATTTCCAGGGTTTCATGCTGAAAACTCCCCCAAGTGTTCTGTCCTCATTGAGACAGATTTAATTTAATCTCTAATTGATTAGTTGCTGACTTTTTTTTGTCTGTGGAGCTGTAAAAGCTGCACTATAGTTGAGTAGTGTTGTGGTTTAAACTAAGTCAGCCATAAATCACACAGTCACGCTCTCACTTCCCCCCTTTTTGCCTCCCCCTGCTCCCGGAGGAATGAGAAGGAGAATCAAAAGAATGCAACTCCCATGGGTTGAGATAAGAACAGTTTAGTAACTAAGGTATAACACAAACCACTGCTGCTACCACTAATAATAATGATGATAAAGGAAATAACAAGGGAAGAGAATACAACACCTCAGCACTGTGGCGCTATCAGCACCGTTCCCAGGCCGAAAGTCAAAAACACAGCACTACACCAACTACCAAGAAGGAGAAAAATGACTGCTACTGCTGAACCCAGGACAAGTAGGAAAGAGGTGACTTTATCACTCTGCCTTCCCTAATTCTGAATAGAGTGCTGTGTCAAACAGCAGCAGCACTAGTTTTCTGCTGATGGATTTAACTGCCCTTTAAGATGTTCTTGTGTTCTGTTTCAAATCGCACCTCACGATCCTTCTGATCTTGTTACTCTTCTAACTGGTATCACAATTATTATGGGAGACCTACCAAATATTTTTTGTCCTTTGTAAACCTCAACATTGTAGTATGAAAGCAATTTAAAGCAAATTGATATTTATTTATGTGTAAAGATTTCTTACATAGAATATGTATAAGCTCCGACAAACTCTTTGCCAGAGCCGTGAACACCTGCAAAACATCTCCTCAATGCTGATATGAAGTCATTTCCTTCACTGGACTTCTCTCATGGAGTCTGGATGTGATAGCATCAGGATTAGAAGTAGGGTTAGAAAGTGGCAAACTTCTTTCCTTTGCAGCCAATAGGAAATATGGGCTCTACCCAGATATGGTGAGACAGTGGGAACCTCAGCAAGTGCTCAGAAGAAAACTCTGCAGAGTGTGAAAGAGGGTTTTGACTGATGCAGTAGCAGCTAAACTGGAGGGTGGAAGAGTGGGAAGGATGTATTGACTGAAACCATGCTAACACTTCTGGATGGTCTTTTAAGGAGGAAAGCAAAAGTGAATGGAGATGCTGTGGATTTGCTGTGGGTGACAAAAGTACAGCCAATGCCAGAGCCCACTAGGTTATTTGACTGGTGCATATCCCATTTCATCCAGATACGCTGGATTCCCACAAGTGACTTTCAAAGAGCCAGCACCATTCCTGCTGCTTGTGTGTCCAAACCAGGGGCCTTTTTTCCAGAATTTATTACACTACTAAGTCTTCATTCTGTTCAATTCCCACCAGTTTTAATACTTGCAACAAGGCCTTTTAGCTTTCACACCCTTTTTGCTGCAGCTGGAATGGCATGTTCTGCTCAAAATTTACAGACAGTCAACATAGCCCACACATTTCAAAGCATGAGAATGCCCTTTCCAGGCAACCTTCATCTCCTTGGGGGCTCCTTGGGGGGCTTTTAATGCTCTTTAAAGCCACAGATTTAAATCTCAACATCCTCCCTGTCCAAAGCAATTAAACAGCCCTCAAACAGCTGTCTCTGGTGGATGAATTTGCAAGGGGTGTTTGCTATAGAGACTGCCACGTCCCAGATATTTTGTCTCCTGTGAAAGCTCTTACTGTGCTTTTGTAGCACTTTGGTTGTCCCCTTCACCAGGACACTGCCCACTAGCACCAAACAAAAATCCTCACATACTGCAATGTGGAGCTCTTAAAAGTGTCATTTGCTACTGCACAGTTAATCTGGCATGAACTGAACTATGTAAAAGTAAGGGAAGGAAATTTTGCTCTACATGTATAAGGTGAACTTGACTTGCCTGGGAGAATTGTATCTTGCAAAGCAACGAGTGAGAGAGAATCTCCTATGCAAAGTCTCAGTATTGAACCATTCACAGCTCTGCAGCCCCGTCTTGGAATGCCTGCTGCAGTGAAAAGTTTTGTGTAAGGGAGATGGCTTTATCTGCCTGCTCAGGAAGGAGAAGGTGGATATACGAAGCCATGACTGTGCAGCTTAGGGACTGCACTTGGCTCTTGGCTCTGCCATAAGCATCCCAGGTGAATAGGGAGAAATCGGTGGATTTTTTTGTGGCTCGGTTTCCCTTCTGGTCAGTGGGATTGATAATAAAGCTATTATTTTCCTCCTGGTGTGTTTTGGAATGTGTAGATTGTCAGGTTGCTTGTAATGAGTCATATCTGTATCCTGCACAGCACTCAGTTTCTCAGGCTTGTTGTCACTCTTTTAACTTGAGCATCAATAGTCACAGTCATGCAGTGCTTTGATTTTTCACAATGCTTTCCTGTTATATGATGGTTACAAAAGTTCCCTGGGTCTTACAGTTCAGCTCCCCTCATTCCTGTGCTGCAGTTAGTGTGCCCAGCCAGACTGACCACGTCAGAAATCAGGATATTTCACCCTGTCTTCAAACCTGAGTGACAATAAGAGGAAGGGTAGGGTGCTTCCCTTGCTTCACCCTGGACACATTTCTTGCACTGTTTTCTGGGGGATGAGACAAGCAGCTCTGTCCTGCTCTCACTGTATTCACATGAAAACATAGGACCTGCTGCCCTGGGTTGGAGAAAAGGGCTGTCTCATCCAATATCCTGCTGCTGACAGTAGCCAGCAGTGGACCCTCAGGGAAATGTGAAAGCATCAAGGATATATATATCCTTCCCTGGCTATATCCACCAGATTTAGCAGGCAGCAGTTTAGGAAGTTTCTGCTCTGGCAGATGTATTCAGCATCTTGTTGTTGATCCCAGATGTAGTTTCTCCATGCTACTGCTTCCCAGAGAAAGTGTAGTTGTGGAAAGTCTGGTTATTAATACCAGAGCTTTCTCCAGGGCAGATAAATGTCGTGTGCCCTCTTGAATTGTCCTGGCTCCTTTGGGAACATACCTATTTATAGCATCCAGGTATTCATGCTGCAGTGCCTTCTTATTAGAAACAGAACTTGCTACCTTTGTTCTGCAAGTGAGTGCCCCAAGCAGAGGCTGGTTAAGCTTGCTGAGGTTTGCAGACTGCAGGAACGCGAAAAAGCCTTTCTCTAGTGAAACTTACTTCTTTAGCCCAATCATTATTAGGGATGCTGTTCAGGAATAGTGGGATTTATAGTCTTAATTTGAAGACCAGGCCAGCTGGTCAATGGGATTGCTTCTGGTCTTGAAGGCAATGCTAAAGAAAGCAAAGAAACTGATTTTTTTTTTAATTTAAATTTTTATTTTAGACAAAATCCACATTGCTGCACCGAATCCCTGGAAGTCTAGAGCCAGTCATATTCTTGATTCCAGTCCAGCATTTAAGGGCTGTCTTTCCTTATGTAACTTCTTCAGCCCTTTCAGCATTTCACTTTCTCTCCTGATTCACCCTGCCCTGTGTGCTGAACAAAAGGCTACACAGCTCCTCATCTTCCTTACTATCAGTAAGGGTTTATCAAAGAATTTTGTAATCTGTGTGTTAGGTTTGTCAGGGCGTAACGAACTGCCCTAAAAATTCCTAGTGGAAAATTCCCAAAAGGAACATGCCCGAGACAAGCAAACCTCATCAGTGTCATCTCCTCTTTGACTTTCTGCAGGGGACACTGGAATGTTCAGGTGGTTCCAGAACTATCAAAAAGCAGCCCTATATGTTAGTACACGTTTTTCCTATCTGAATTGTCCTGCAGGTTTTATGTGATTAACATCTGGGAAAATAAACAGAGCACCGCACCTTCTCTAAATGATGCTGTCAAAATATTTTGTAATACATTTATTTTGTTAAAATAAAACTATGTACAATAGATGATATTAATGTGCAGTTACAATATACAATAATTACATGTTTAAAAGAGGATAAGCAAAAGAGTACAGAATCATGTGTTGTAAATAGGAAACTAATAGTGTTTACATGCTTTTTAAACTAGGAAAAATGTAATTGCTGGAAAAAAGAGTTTCCTTGGTTTGAAATCTTATTGCTTTGACATGAATTCTGATGTTTTCATGAATCTTAGAAAAAAAGATATATCATTCAAAAGTCAAACATAATGTTATAGTACTCATCCTTTGGTTTTACCAGTCCCATACTCCCGCAATATTGCAAACAATAACTTTTAAGAGAGAAAAATTCAGTTGGTCACATCAAATAAATGACTCTTTTTCTTATCTTGCTAAAAGCTGACTGATGATGTGTTACGTCCTGATTTGTGCTGAGGTTATTACATCTGCTTCAATTAGAATAACTTTTTGCACTGTTACTTTTAAGTATTGCTGAAGTACTACACAAAAAGGAAGGAAAGAAATTTTCTTGTCTTTGTGTTCTCAGGGAAGCAGAGAATCTCTTTGCAGTGAAACACTCATATGTGACAAGTGCATCGATATCATAACAGGTTAAACTGGATTCAGTTAATCTTGCACTCGAGGACAGTTCAGGTCCATCTCCCTGCTCCTCTGCAGCCTTCTTTGACACCCTCCCAGTCTCAAGGTGCTGCTGTGCCCCAGGTATCCCAGTGTGATTCCACACAGGCTTTTGCCAGGCTCGCACCATACGTGCTGGGGCAGCATGGACACCATGCTAGCATTTCCCACCTGGCAATCTGGGCTCACCACCTTGCACTTCTGCTCATGGGTGAAGAAGACTGCCAATGTCATTTCCCTCTCACATTGCTTAATGTTATTGTTTATCAATGATTTAATATTTACAAGCTTGAGGAAAGTTTGTGCTCATTTACTCCACACTGACAAGGCAGTTCAGTGCCTGCCAGTTCTGTGATACAGGTAGAACAGCTGCCTGTTTTGGGGAAAAGTGCTGGGAAAGATGGTATGACAGTCATGTTATGGGTATGGCTTACACCCAAACTACTTTGACAGATATCAGACAAAAACTTCTATGTGTTATCAGTACAAATAACTGCTTTGTTGAAAGATCTGGAAACTGTAGGCTGGTGACAACTGTTTATTCCAAACTCATTAACCTCTGATCAAAGTCAAAATTCAGAAGAGTTGGTATCAGCAAGAGCTCAAACTGATCTTCGGCAAAACCAAATGCAAAATTAAATTTGGCATCCTGAATGGGAAAAGATGAAGTTAAATGACAGCAATTAGTGCTGTGTCAAACTAAGAAAAGATAGATACCATTTGTCTTGAATATTACACTGTTACTATCATCATTTTCATCTTCAGCCTCGGTAATGGTTGAAAAGAAGAGTTACAAATCCAGTCTCCAAAGCTCAAGCTGAAGATCAGACCAGCAAAGCCTCCAGATGCCCAACTTCTTTCAGGAGTCCACAACCTCCAAAAGGTATGAAAGATTCTTGGACCTGGCTCAGCATATCTGTGTGCTCAAAGCTTGGTCAGCAACAGTAAAGGGCAGAAAAGGTGGAAAGACTCAGATGCTTTCTGCATTAGTAATGTGCGGACCCCATTGAAATTTTCTGTTGTCATCATGAGAATTGAAACAAAGCCAACATACAGAATCTTTGAAAGTCCCACCCTAAAATTATAGTTAGGAGAAGCAGCCAAACACTGCATTACAGTCTGCACATTCTCAGAGGGGGTGGGAATCATGTTCAAAGTTATTTCTGTTAACATATTTTCAAAGATAAAGAGATTTTTCACCATTGACAGCAATTCATATGAGTTTTGGTTGTTGCTCTGTGATAGAAGGGTTTGTGAGCTCATTTTTCTCTGACAATGAGGTTCTGACTCTTTTTGCTGTTCTATTGGGGTTCCTGGAACTGCCCAGGAAAAATAGATTCTTCTTCACATGTTTCTGACAGCTTTAACCGAAACAAAGAAAAGAGTATTTGAGGATTTTTTCATCCTAGTTGTGAGCATCCCTTAACATTTAAAATGAAATTTAAATTTTAGGATCAAACTGACTAATTGCAGCTCCGGGCCCTGATTTTGCATCTCTCCCCCAAAGCAGAAGTGCAGATGCCATTCTATTGCACTCTTTGCATCTAATTGGTTTTGTCTCACTTCCTGATTCAAAGATACTTCTATTCATATTTTTGTTTTGATAAGTGAAGACAGCTGAGATCACAAGCCACTACCAAAAAGAGTGGAGGCTTTTTCCTGCTTTCAGAGGGCCTTTATTCACTAAGAGTAAAATAACATTTATAGTAGAGATTCATTTTCATTTTTACAAATGTCAAATGTGTCAGCCATCAAAGGTCAAATGTGTCTAGAAGTTACCTGACATAGTTTGCTCCATGCTCACATCCTGTCACAACAGATGCTCCCCCAGTCCTAGAAAGTTGTGAACCAAGAAAACGTTCTGTGATTTCCGGATTTGGTTTCTTATGTAGGATAAAACACATTACAAACCCTCTTCAGGGAGAAGGAAAATTTAGGGAGAAAGGCATGTGCAGGCAGATTCCTGCATGCAACCTGTTTACTGAACGAATGGTCTCTGGGCCAACATGAGCATATGTTGATTGCTTAGCTGGAGAAGACAAATGTGCTTCTAAACAAACCTGACTTGGTTGATGCTACTGCAATTTATTTTTAATCCAGATGAAGTTTCAGTATGGTGAATCAAGAGGTATTTACTATGCCACGTGGGGGAAAAAAACTACAGAAAAGGTGATGGACCATAAGTAAGCTATGGAAAAAGACGGGATTAGAGGGGCTTTTGTAAGGACATGGCAGCTTGAGTGGTGAAGTTACATCTGCTAGACTTATACCTGGTTGAACAAATGCTCCTAGATGGATCTGCATGAGGTTCTCCCCATTTTTTTTTTGTGGAAGTATTTGTGGTACCTCATTCACATCATGCTGGAACTGGTTGCTCCAGTTCCACTGGCTTGTTGTTTTAGCAGTGCTCTGAAGGGCAGAGGCATCTGTAGGTTGCTTTAATGTGATAACAACTCTGTAATGTCTTGAGATCTCTCTCTAATACCTGGTATCTCCATTATATCCTTGCAAGAGTTTGCGTGAAAACCCCTTGGGAACTCTGAAACTACAGTTTCAGGTTAACAGTTCCTGGTAGAACATTAAGGTTTCAGATGAGGACAAAGGAGTTGGATTTTACAGGATCTAGCAGATCCAGTAAGTGCTTTTGAAATGATAGCAGACTATCATCACAGGCAAGTCTGTCAAGAAAGGTTTTGACATTGGCTGCGTGAAGAGGACTTTGTCAAACAGGTTGCAGGGATGGTTTATTGTGGGGAGTGAAGGCGGTAAGATTTGCATGAAAAGCAGTCTGGGAATCAGCTCTGAGGCCTTGATGCTTAACAAGCCCTGGGGTGATAAGTTGGAATGTTGAAAGACAGGAAAGGTAAACAAGCAAGCTTGGGGGATAGCCCCGGATGTTGCTGTGGCGGAGGAGCTCCGCATGCTGAAGCAACTGAAACACCCCAATCTGGTGAACTGCTGGAAGTGTTCAGGAGGAAGCGCAGGCTGCATCTGGTCTTCAAATACTGTGACCACACAGTTCTCCATGAGCTGGAAAAAGTCTGAACACTGGGCAGTAACCTAAGCCATGTTAGATGAAAAGAGCAAGGTTTACTCTAGTCAAAATGAAAATCTTCATGCCATAGGAAAGTCCAGTTCTAACTGAACTGAATTTTTCCTCCTGAACACTTCCATCAGGTTCACCAGATTGGGGTGTTTCAGTTGTTTCAGCATGCGAATCTCCCCTGCCACAACAACATCCCGGCCTATCCCCCAAGGCTTGCTTGTTTACCTTTCTTGTCTTTCAACATTCCAACTCATCAAGGCCTCAGAGCTCATTCCCAGACTTTTTCATGCAAATCTTACCGCCTTCACTCCCCACAGTTTATAGCCTCTATGACTCTCCTAAGAGTGCTCCTTTGAAGGTGAAATTGGGGTTTGGTTTCTAGCTCATCTTACACTGAACAAGCCTATCTCCTTTCACCTGGCAATCATTTATTGATTTTCTTTTCTTGTTACTAATGGTGCTTGAAAATAACTTGAAGTTTATATCTGCTGCCTTATGCCTGTGCTTGCACTGTGTCTGGTGTTGTGATATTTCTGAAAATAAGCTTTACTGCCTCTTCACGCACCATCTGTTGGCTTTTAGAAAAGGTATTAGGTAGGACTTGCCAAATAGTCAATGAGTCTCCTTCCATCTGCCTACAATCCCTTTTTAAAAGCTATTGGCCTGTGCTATTCCTGCCTCCCCAAAATAATAAGCATAAGAGGGCAGATCCTTGAGTAAGGATCAACATTACATGGATAAGTGTATCTACATAATCTAATACAGCAATAATGTTTATGGGGTCTGAATTAACTATAGCTATTTTAAAAATATTTATTTTAAAAAATATAGTTTCAAACAGAGTTGCAATGATTTGGGCAGGGTGCTGTGGTTTAATACATTAGGACAGTACCATTTTAGCTTATACATCACCGTGTGTTTTTAAATTGGTTTTTCTTGAGCCACTGCAGTTACATTAATGCTACAAATTCCTATTTGTTTTTTATTGTATATTCATATCCCATGCCATCCTATTAGTATTAACAGACACCCCTGATATTTGGTGGCAAACAAAAATATCATTTGATTATTTGTGGCTTTCTCTGGGTATGCTGGGAATGCTAGATTGCACTTTTCCAGTGTGCTCATTATTTTATGATAAGCGCAGCTGTCAGTCTAGATTTCTATTTCCTATGTATTTTGTAAAGCTCTAAGAGTTTCTGGCAGCTCCAACCTGAATGTTTGCATTGTGCTTCAGCTAAAACAGACTTCACTTACTTTAACCAGAGACTTGTATATAGGCTAGCGCTCTACAGCAACCTACATGAGCTAAAACAAAGTAATCATCCCATTGTATTTCCACTGAAGTAAATGGCTGCACAACAGAGCTCTAATTTTCTCTGAAAACTGTTGAAAGGTTTTTCTTTTTGTTTCAGTGGACTTCTAGTTATGTTGTAACACAACAAACATTACCTAAATATTTATATATTGAATCCACTCCTAATTTTCCACATACTCCCCTACTATCTCTTTACACATTATAGTTCAGCTGATTGCCAGTCTCCCAGCCATGTGAATACTCACTGCTCTGCCTGGGGATGGCAACACAGCCTCTGCGGCATGACGTGAACTCCTTCACCAGGCTTCAGCACTGTCCTCACTCTGAGCTGTGCTTTGTCAGCCAGTTCATTTGAAGCAAATGTCTGGGACATAATAAAACAAAATGTAAATCAGGAGCAAAGAATGACAGCAGTGAGGAAATCTTTCTTTTGTCTGTCTTTGATTTTGCATAATGTTGTTTTCATCCATGCTTGTGTGCTGCAAGAAGGAGATGGTGAGTGAAAGTTGGCTGGGTAATGGCAACAATGCACTTGCCTTGAATTTGATCACTTTGGTCAGAGAAAACTGTTGATTTCTACCTGGAAACATCTCTGGGTGTCAGAGGTGGTTTCTGTAGGTGTCCATGGTAAAGTGAATTTGTGCTAAAGGAGCTTGGCTCCATAATCCTTGATGGCTGCAGGACTGGGCACTGCATCATGCTTGTTCCCTTCTCTGTGGCAAGGGTGCAGTTCCTACAGTTCTGCTGAAGTCACTAATTGCTCCAAGTAACAGTGAGTCTATAATTCACCACTAATCACATGAGTTCTTCTGGTTGCATGCGTGTGCTCAGCCATGCTACTGTGCTTCTGAGGAGGAGTGGACCGGCAGTCCCCTGGAGTGGGGTGTGGGGGAATGCCCCAAGGCTAGGAAGGTGTACTGCTGTTACTTGCTTACTGCTACAGCACTCCTGAAACTACAGGCGTTGCCTTTGCAAGAAGTTACATCAGAGGTTTTCAAATCTGCATTTGCTGGCGCTGTGGTTTTCTGCTTGGGGAATGGAATACATAACGACAGTCTCATGGTATTGCCAGGGTACCTGAAGGCAGATGGAAGTAACAAGACATCTGTCAAGTTCACTTCTGAGCGTCTGTGTTGCTGCGGTATGTACAGCCTCCCTGGAGAGGCTTTATTGAAAAGGCACACTTTCTTCAACAGCAAAGAGAGCTAACAGGCAGCTTCCCTTCCCTTAAGGTCTGGACATCCCATCTCTGTGCTGTCAGCTGCAGCCAATCACCTGTGACTTTTGTGAAAGTTCCCTCCTGCTGACTGCAGCCGGGCTGCAACTTAAACAGCACCCACAGTAACGAAGATGGAAAAATGGGAGCAAAGAAGGAAGTAATGAATGGGGGGAAGAAGGCTACAATAAATCAACATGTTTACATCTCAACTTTGATAGGTTTTTTTACATGAGATACTCCATTAAAAGAAAAAAAAATCTTAAGGCATTTGGATCACCTTAAAGCACTTGAAGTCAGTATGACCTTTGGCATTTTGGCTTTTGCTGTTCTTGTCTGCTGGGTGAGATGTAGAAATCCAGCTGATCTATAAGGTAAATTTTCAGTTGCCATGGCAATGTGTATCATTCGTGTTCTCAGTTTGGAAGGGAGATGGTTCCATGCTGCTATTTCATGTCCAGGGCTATATTCTTTGGTGGTAGACTTTCTTTGTTTCTGTACATTAATGCTACAACTCTGTTCTTCCTTTCCCAGCTTATGGAAACATGGCTCAGCCTGAACATTCCCCTGTAAAAATACAGTTATTTGCATTTTTTTTTGTTATAAGGACATTCCTTAAGTCTGGAGGTAAATGTTGATCCATTTTGATTGCTTGGGTGCAGCAACATCCTGATGCTGTGAGGTTTCACCATTAAGTGAAAACAAATTGGAATCGCTCCACTTTTGCTTCCATGCGATTTGAACAAACTAAAGCATATCCTGAACTAGTGGGTCTTATAAAAGAAAAGTAGTTAAAAAGTACACCCTACCTATAGTGTATATCTTACATATTAGATTTCTACAGATCATGTGCTTTCAGTCAATTCAGATTCAATCCCTAAGTACTGCAAATTCCTAATTTTGATTGATTCTTGCTTAAGGCCAGAAATGGAGTTTCTCTTATTTCTTTCACCACCTTTAGAACTTTTTTTTCCACATGCCACCTTCACCTTATTCCTAAGTTGAAGAGTCAAGCAGGAGCAGGCACCCTGGTTTCTGTTGGCTCAGTGCAGTCTGCAGTAGTGGGAGCAGGCTGCGTACAGCTCTGGAGGGTTAGGAAAGCACATAGACATGAGTTGGCCTACTGTGATTCAACTTGGAGGTTTCACAGAACAGAGGGCTCCTATATTTGGGTAAAGAAAGACCCCTTTCTGGTCATGTTCTGCATTTCAGTTTCATGTGACCTTCATTGCCTTTCTAACCTGCTTTGTTTCAATTGAACTCATCTTGCTTTTCTTTCCAAGTGACTTCACACAAGGATGCAGCACCTATGGCACTTTGCACAATGCTTCTTCTTCTTCTTGGGATGGAAAATGGTCAGGATTGCCTCATCGAAGACAGTCTTGAGGCCTTTCTGTGTGAGGGCTGAGCACTCCAGATAACATTGTGCTCCAATCTGAAAGAGAGCAGAGAAAATGTGAGTACTCGCTGCTGGGAGAGACAGAGTGACCCTGTTCCATCATCCATTTATGTTCATACGTGTCTTGCCATAAAGGGAAGCCCAGACCTTTAGAAAGGGGGTCGTATAATTGCTCTATTTTGTATCCGTCTGCCTGTGGGATTAAGGAACAAGCTCAGGTGTTCATCCTGAGGGATGAACATCAACATCACTATCTCACCACAGGGTGTTAACGTGCAGCAGGATTTCTCTGCATGACCCTCCAGAGAGAGAGGAGATGCACCCATGTCTGAGTGCTGGACCAGGAGCTTGGCCTCCCATCTGTGCAGTTGGGGAGGGTTTCAAGGAAATGCTGGGTTGTTAGCTGAACCCCTTCATATACTTGGCTCTTCTCCCCTGACCTGTCGCTCTTCTGTTCTGCCTCCTGCAATATCAGGGAGCTGTTCCCTGGGGAAAGCCTTCTATCTGGTTTCTGGGAATTGCGAACCATTGTCTTGAGATGGGAGTCTCCTGGAGTGCTGGTATGACACAAGCACACAGAGTGGCCTGGGAAAGCAGACTCGATTTATTCAGCAACCTTGTTCCTTATTCAGCTTATTCTGCTAGTGGATGCCCTTGCTGGCCTCTGTGGGCCAGAGCCTGTAAGAGCAACAGCAGTGTATAAGGTGGAAAAGGCCTGTATTTCAGGGATTGAGAAGGGCTTTTAATCCCCCTACCTTCCCTGTGAAAAGGTGTAATAGCACACACACCTTGAGAGCTCCTTCTCTGCTGCTTGGAATGCAGTGGCTAAGTGAGAATCAAGCTGTCTGTGCTTTGTAAGGGGTAGGGATAAGTTTGGCAAGAAGTGACCACAGGGAGGGGTTTGGCTCACACACATCCTGCCTGAAGCCTGAGCAAGAAACTTGACTTAGGTAGAGCAGGCAGTAAAATCTGTTTTGCTGCCCCTTTGCCACTGCTATACCTTGTTGCTTTGCTTAGAGCTCAATTGGGTATCACAACAGAACAGCAGGCTCAGAACACAACCTGTGTCTGGATCCAGCCTATTTGAACAGAGGCTTTAATCTCTGGCTGGTACAAACCTATGTGCCCCAGAGGAGTTCACCTTTAACAAAAAAAAAAAACATCAAAAGCTGTGATCAGCTGTTATCATGGGAGCCCAGAAAAAGCTGTTACCTCCTTTGCTAGCTTCACTCCATGCTCGTAGGTGAGTGGTTTCTCCTTCATGTAAAGCAGTCGAGCCAAAGTTTTGGGGTCATCCCGAAGATCGATCTAGTTAGAAAATACACAAACCCTGAGCTTAGAACTGCCTTGCTCTAATGCTTGAGACAGATACTCGTAGCTTTACAAACTCACAGTCATATCCTTGCATAAGGGCTTCTGTCATAGTCTCAGATGATACTTTGGAAATGAACTCACATGTTTGAGGGTTATTTTATTTTTTTTAATTTAGTTTTTATTTTATATTTTATTTTTTTTATTTTATTTTAATTTTTATTTTATTTTCATTTTTTCTGTTTAGTGTGAAATAGTTCTTATTGGCAAGCTGTTTGGCCAGAGCTCAGATAGCTGCAGTACAGTCAAGATGCAGTTCTCAGTGGCTCTCACAAGGCATCTTGAAAAGCGTTGGTGGAAGTCTGAGACACACTGGAAGAGGAGCCTGCTCTTGCACTGCATCACCCCAAAAACATCCTAACAGGCCAGACAGACACAGCTCAGTCTGACTGACTTGAAACAAAATCCTTTATTTCCATGGAAAACATCAAAGTGAAGCATTCTGGCATTTCAAACCTATCCATTTTCAGAGAGTGTGATCCAAAGGGCAATACTTTTATTTCAAAATAGGTGATTTAGATTACTCCAGTGTGGAAAACAAAGCCAGTGTTAGAACCACTGGACTTTCCTGTGGCATGAAGATTTTCATTTTGACTAGAGTTTGTTCTTTTTATCTAACTTGGCTTAGCCTACTGTCCAGTGTTCGCACGTTTTCCAGACGGTCATATCCCTACTTTTCTCAGTCTCTAGCCACTCTGTGTCCTGGAGGCAAACTCATATTTAAGGCTTTTAAAAAATTTATTTATTTTTATTGATAGATTTATAGATTTTAAGGCTAAAATAAAGTGATTTGATCATTTTGTCCAACATCCACAATAACACAAGCAGGACAGTGAGTCACTAATTGCAGTGTTGATATCAAAACTTGAAGGGAGGCTATTTCCTTCCCATGTCTCTAAGTAAGTCATTTGGATAATTAGTCCCATTCTTAAAAGTTAGTTTGAAGTTTAGCTTCTGCTTCTAACCACAAACTCTGATGTTTTTTTTCTCCTCACTAAAGGCCTGTCAGAAACCTTTTCTCCATATAGACATTTATGCCTTGTTGCCACATTTATACGTATTTGAATAAACATGAATGAGTTTCGCCTCTTGTGACTAGTATGGGACATCTGCATGTTGGTTTCCATTTTAGCCCCTGAGTTTTCCTCTAATCTGGCTGCTTTTCACATCAGAAGTTAAATAGGAAACCTTTCCACAAAGCTCAGCCTCTAGCCACCCCCTGGGGTGGAGTAGGAATCCCCTCACTCTGAAGACCCCTGAGATGGCTGGCAGTGCTCCAGAGAAGGATTACCTGTGTTCCTATGAGGACGTAAGGCACGTTGGGCATGCAGACTTTCAGCTCGGGCACCCACTCCTCCTGGACGTTGTGATACGAGGCGGGGTTCACCACCGAGAAGCAGATCAAGAAGACGTCGGTGTTAGGGTAGGACAGGGGTCTCAGCTGATTATAGTCCTCCTGCAGGGGAAAAATAGCATGTGTGTTATGGGCTGGGGGCTAAGTGCATATGGGAGCATTATGCTGGCTTTTGATGAACTGCTCAACACCGCCCCTCCATGCTCATGCACATTTACAACCTCTGAGTAGCTGCTGAGGGCAAAATCACCCCTTGGGGGCCAGGGACACCTGTTTTTGTCAGCACCTTTACCCGAAAAAGCTAACACATTTTGTTTGTATGTGCATTATCTGTGGTGATGGTGGCTTAGAGGGTAATGCTAAACAGCATCCATCACAGCTGGAATAACAAAAATTGATCTCGAGGCTGTGTGTACAAGCCTCAGCCCTTTGGCACTGCGATATCATCCTGGGAATTATCATTTCACTGTCACCACTAGATAATATTTGCTGATAGCACACATCACTAGGGGGTTTTCTGTTAATATTATGGGCTTTCTATTCCCCAATAGGCATTACAGACATGACCATACGCAACAAATGGTGTCTCTGGGCTATTTGATGCCATTGCAGTCATGTTACAGTATGCAGCAATGTGTCAGTCAGCAGAAGACACTCATCTTTAAAACACAAAGCAGATCAAATCCAGCCTGCAGTGGCTGGGTAAATCACTGATGGTGATTCAGTGTTTCCACAGGCCCTGGACTGAGGAAAAAGAGATGGTTTCTCTATGGGCTAGGTGTGAAAAGGGTGAATTTTCAAACAGCTCAAAGCACAGCTGTGTCATGTTGTGAGCTGGCTTTGACAGCTAAGTTTCAAGGAAGAATTTGGTTCTGTTTTCAGGCTTGAGATGTTGAAAGTGAGCAGAGGTTTTGCAAACCAGGTGAAAGTAATAGACTGGTTCTGTCTGATAGTGAGAGCACATGTAGCTGTGTCTGGAGGGTTCTTTTCAACGAAACCTGTTAGAAAATGTCAGTGCAATGAAACAGATGCTGCTGTTCTGAAGACTTTTCCTTAGAGGAGTCCAGAATTAAAAAAAGGGAAAAGAGCACAAAGTTAGAGTGTAGGGAACAACAATATATGTTGCTGTCAAGCCTGATTGAGACCTAGGTCTTTAGTTTATAGTTTCTGCATTCTGGGCAAGCCTCTAATCTCTACAATATGGTTTCTTTTAGTTACAACTGTATGCAAATTGAACTGGTGCAGCTTTGTTTTGCAGATACTGAAACAGTTAACAGCTCAATGAGAAAGGAAAACCAAAAAAGTATCCAGGTGCTCAAACTTGAAAACATTTATTTGAGGTAGGGAAAACCCACATTAGGGGCAGGAGCAATGCGAGCTGCTGCCTGTCAGGCAGGAGAAACTGATGCAGGACTTTATCACTGTGTGCCCAGATTAGATGGTGCTTTAATTCAGCCTTGTTTCTGTCTTGCTTTAATTGCATCAGCAAATGAGAGGGCTTTAATTATGAGTTGAGACTGGTAAATCTTCTTGCCAAAGTCTTTTGTTCACTGAGTATGCAGTGATAACATGGCCCAGGCTACTTCTGTACCAACACTAGTTGCATAAAAACACTAATGGATTATGTAAAAATAGTCTGCTCCGACCGTTTCTAAACAAAAAACCTTAATAATTTATTCTGAAAGGAAGTATGAGGCACCTTTAGCTTTGTACCATTAAAAAGAAGTTTAAAGAAACATCTTGAACCACAAACAAAATGTTTTGCTTTGTCTAACTGAATGTTCATTTTTCCAAGCCCACCTCACCAGGAAAATGATCAGTTACAGCCTCCGGCCCCTCAACCATAGTATTTGGGGTAAAGCCAGAGGACTCGTCAACTGACCTATGTCCTTCCAGCCTCATAGAACTGGAAGAATGATTTACAAGACAAAAGAAGGTGTCTGGACTTATCAGCTTCCAAGAAAGGGTGGATTCTCCATGTTCAGGGAACAGCAGGGAAAAAAACCCTCAGACATGTTTGTGGGAACATCAGCAATACAGGCCATGAAGAAACAAAGTTGGTGGGAGGAGATTTATACAAGGCTCTGGAGATGACACCCAGCTTCCAGCAGATGAGTTAATAGAGGCAAAGTGGATGTCAAGATGATGGGATCAGTGGAGCAATTGCATTATGGAGACAGATGAATTTTATGGGGATGCTGTGGGTTAGGAAGACCTGGCGTGATTATGGGGCATTATTTTAACCCAGATCTTAAAATCTAAAATTAAGTATGTTTATATCACAGTCTACATGGGCTGATACTAGGTGCTTGGTGAAGGTATTTCCTGCGCCTTAATTGGTGCAAATCGCCTTCCTAAAAGAGCCACGCGGTGGCAGCAAGCCCTCGAGGAATCATGATTCAGGATTTTTGTTGGAAAGCAACTGGCTAAGTATCACCAGTTTCAATATTCCAGGCGTGCATATTTAGAGGGGCTGGAACTTACTGTACCATTTCAATTGCAAACTAAAAGCCCCAGGTGCTCTGCCTGGCAGCGACAGCTACAGGAGAGTGCATTTAATTTTATTTGGCTTGCTCCTTTGTCGCCCCTAAAAAATAGTTTTTCAGGAGGAGCGTTCCTGATTTGTATTAGCAGCACAGAAGATTATATAAACTATAAGGAGGGACAGTCATGCATCACATAGCAGAGGTCTCATCTCCCATCAGGGCACATGGGGCTTGCATGGATGTGTTAAAGCACAAGCACAAATGCGGTGGAGAAGAATTGATCTGGGCTTCTCTACATGCCTGTGTCTCTGGACTGGCAGGAGCCTCCAAACTGCATCAGACAAGGATTCAATTGGATCCAAGGATCCAATCGCTGTACCTGCTCTCCAGGAGAAGGCTATAAAACCTTTCAATGGACCATTATGAGATATGGCGCATCAGGATCATTTCTCATTGAGAGATGGTTGAAGTCAAGCAAATGAATAGCGTAGAAAAGGGACTGGACTCTGCCTGGGTATGGGACATAACCGGAGGTGCTTCAGGCAGTGGTGTTTGGGAATGGACCTGAGTCCTCATGGGCTTGGGCTGTAGATGATTATTAATTTGTTTCATGCTCTATTTTGCTGCCAGCTCCAGACCTTGGCCTTGCTGAATTACCTGACTGTGACTTGCCAGAGCTGAGACACATAGACTGGTGTTGTTCCCTCCCCACTCTGTCGCTGCCATCAGCCTTGCAGTATTCAGGCCCGGAAAGTACAGTGAACTTTGCTTTATTTGCGTTGCTGCCGTGCTGGTCTTACACAGGCTCCCTGCCATGTCAGCCTGTTAAAGCACTCCACACCTGAGTCCTGTCTGGGGTAAAACAGACCACTGTTTTCTTCCTCCTAGAACTGTTTGTGCCAGGGATGCAGAAAACCAGATACTCCAGATCTGGGGTCTCTGCCAGCTCTCCATTCAGGCTGACAAAGGGTCCTGCTGCAGGAGTATATTTTCCAATTGTTATTTCATTAGCATATGTTTTATAGCATTGTAATGTCAAATGCTATTTTTGGCTATGACTTCACACTGATGCCTTTTGCAAAGCCACGTGACACAAGGAGGAGGGAGGAAACAACCCAGATGATCTGTTGTTATAGCTTGAGCATGTGGGAAGCATCATCCCTTCAGCCTCCATGGAGATAGAATCTGGTCGTCAAGAAGTGATTCATGTTCTGAGTTTTAACTAGATGGCCACATCCTCTGGACCAGGGTCTGAAAGGGAAATGAGCCTGATGCATTAGAAGTGGTTCTTGGGGGCAGATGGTGTTCTGGCTAGTTTGAAGCAGGAGATGGCGAAATGCCTGTGGATGGTGGAGGGAAGTTTGTCACAGATTAGTGTTTCTTCTGCCTATAGAGGACAAATAAGAGGGTGTGTCACTGAGGAAAAGGGTGGCAGGTGGAACTGTCAGTCCTGTGGGAAAAAAGTAGAAATATTAAGGCTGACTGAGAACTGAATATAAGACTACGTCTCATTTGGAAAGGCTTGCCATGCTGCTGGATCGTGACAGACACTCCAGGCTCTGTGTTTATGAGTGCAGAGTACAAAATTGAATATGGCATAGGTGATTTGCATCATACTGTGGAACTGGTTTTGAATCAACTGTTTCCATCATGTGAATAGAAAGGATGGGTGGATGGTAAATGACACCAAGCTAGCTATGAAGTGACCACTGCTGCCTACACACATGGAATAAAAGGAATAAAAATAAAAAAAAAGTGATACTCAAAGCATAAAAACCCCAGTCCTGCTGAGTGCAGGTTTTTCTGGAAGTGACAGTTTGTCCTGATGGGGTTTTTGACCTCTGCATCCTGCTGCAAAGTATTTTCTGTAGTACGTGGCCTTCTGAGACAGGAGAGTCTCCTTCTGCATTGTTTATGCATTTCATAGCAGTCAGTTATGGCCAAAAAAAGCACAGCCAAGAACTGAAGAAGTGCTCCTGAAAGCAAAGCTCCGCAACCAGGGCTCCTGGGTCCCAGGGTGTGAAGCAGGCTCCCAGATCTGCTTTCCTCTCCTGGTGCCTCCAGTTCCAGCTGTGACCGGAGGAGCTGGCGGGTGTGGGTTCCAACCTTCCCAGGCTGGGACGAGCTGGGACCTGGGACCTACTCCCTCGATTCTCTGTAGGTGATTTTCTGCAAGGTTTCTGTGCAGGCTGTGGTTGTTTCTTTACTCTGTCAGTTGCTAGCATTTGGAGATAGGAGAGGAAAGTTTCACCATGAAAATATGTTGCTCCCTATACCCTCTTCTGCCCTTCTATTAGCAGAGCAAGGTGGTGAGAAACGCTCTCTTCCTCTTCAGGGGGATGAAATGAGCCCACAGACCAGAGCTGTTCTGCAAACCTTTAGTGCAAGCACGCTGTATCAGACTGTGGACAGTGAAAACAGTGAAAGAATTATATATCTAATGTAATGTAATGGACACCCTTGTCCTCGAAGGAAGATGTTGGGATGGATGCCAATCTGGCTGGGTCAAAAAAGTCAATAGGTGGTGTCCAATAGTGTGGTACTGTATTGTATTAGGTTTCTGAGCTTGGAAACGGGAATTCTCTGTATCTTCAATGCCACCATGTGGTAAATGTAAGAAAACATTGACTATATATGAAAGGTCATATTTGCAGTAAAAGCTGGATATATAGGAGGCTGACCAGCCTAATCAGGCTTTAGTTTTTTTTGCTTAGACTAAATTCAGTCTTAGGAATGAGTGCATTTGTGTGTGTTTTATTGCTGAACTAGAACGAAAGCTCAATGTATAAAACAGAAAGGAGAAGGTCAGCAGTTCAGCCATTGTAACTCACAACTTTTTGTTAGTATTTGTAAAAAACCCCAAACAGAAACAGCATGAACAACAAATGCTAGTATATGGTAGTAACAAACAAACATGGGAAAGGAAAATGATAAATGTTTTGCACTAATTTACCTGCCCTGCAGTGTCATAAAGTCCCAGCAAGTGTTGTTGTCCTCCCACAGTCACAGTTACTGGAAGAGAGAGACAAGAGATGTTTATGCACAAGCCAGTGGCCTCATTTTCCTGTGTTTTAATCATAAAATGCCAATAGCCCCTTGTGCTAGGCACATTAGCACGTGTCTTACAATGTGCATACCAAACCAAGCACATCTATTCAACCCAAATTGAAGGCTATCTAAAGTCATAACAAAAGCAAATCCTTTATGCCAATCTCTTATTTCTCTACAGAAACCCAAGAGCAATGAGCTGCACACACTGCTACTATCAGGCACCCAGACTGGGGGACTTTTGCTTCTGTCTCTGCAGCCATCAGCTGAGCTCCATGAAGTGCTAGGACCTGAAAACACAGAATTCCTACCTCCTCACCATGAGCACTAGGGTAGGTTTGTCATAGATCATTGAGAGGGGTTTATGGTTGTTTTATTTATTCCAGTCTGTGCAGTGATGAAGCATTCATCAGCCGTTGATGTTTGGTGGGTCTCAGTAGAGATATGCTGCCTCTTTGGGCAAGCTGTCCTGTGTCATGCAACTGCAAGTAAAGCGGCAGCACTTAACGTGGGGCTCTGTGGTGAATGCTTCAAAGGGCAAGGAGGAAGAGGAGGACCAATATTTTCAGGAATCTTGGGGGCAGATTCTGTTGCAAATGAAGGAAAACATGGCTTTGTTTATTGATCACACTCAGCATGTTTATGCCTTTCCTAGAATTCACTTTGAACTTTGGTTTGAGCCCATTGGCATTGATGAAAATGTTTTCTCATTACCTTTGGATGAACCCCACTATTACAGTTATTTTGTGTAAAGGATATGATCTGTGTTAGCAACTTTTAGTTAACCAGTTAATCTGCTTAAATCATTACTACTCAGCTGGAAAGAAAGGGGGAAAGGGGGCAACCCATAAGTCAACAGGAAGATTTATACATTCACCAGGAAGGTTGCTCATAATAATGGTATTCTTGCAGCCCATGGACTATTGCTTTTTGTAAGAGTGAAGGCAAACAGCTGGAATGAACATAGAGCTACGGCTGGAGTAGGGGAGGGTTAAGACTGGTGCTTACTGGCTGATCACAACCTGCAATTAATGAGAGCTGGGAAAGATTAATAGAGGAGGCTTGAAAACATCACACAGGTTCTTGCTGATTTTTTCATAAAGTGGTGAGGCTTTTGTGGGAGAAAAGCACTACAGTTCATGGAAGTTAATAGCTCCTGCACTGAGGAGCAGCATTCTGCTTGAAATCTCTTAGACCTGAAGTCTCTGTCAGTGTGGCTGGACAGACTGATTATTCAGCAGCTTCTCTTGCTTGCAAAGCAACATGGAAATTTTGCTAGCATATAAACAGAACAAAATTGACATCCTGAAAGTACAGAGGCTCAGCAAGGACCAGACTTGCTGATGAGAGCAGGATGGGCTGCACTCACCCGCTGCTGGGACTGCCTTGTGATGTGATGGGGAAAGAGGACATGGGAAAGGGGCTGAGAGCACTCATCCTGCTCCTCATTTCAGGAGGTAGCTTGTACACAGTGCAGCTCCTAGGGAAACTCAAAACAGGGCTAGCTGTTCAGCATGGATGTCCATGGATGGACAGGGAAGCCCAGGAGAGAATTACCACGGTGGGGACATAGGTACCAACTCAGACAGGAGACAGTCCAGATGCCCCAACACCTTCCTTCAACCTGACTTTACTCTGCTTGAGGACCAACTGTTGGAAGTTATACCCTTCAGCTGAAGGCAGTTTTCCAGCTGTAGTGTGCTCGCCATGCAAAGTGGGATGCTCATAGGACAGCTGTGTGGCCATGGGGTGCATGGAGGTGCAGGTGATCTAAAGTGTCTGACAAATACGAAGAGACATTTGCCATATGTCAGTACTGACACAGTTATGCAGCTCTGCCTCTCATGCTGGCTAACCCTGAGCACAGGCAAACTGATCTGGGTCCTGCTTACAAAGATGAGCTCAGGTCTTTGGAGTTTTACAGACTTAAAAGTCAAATTGAAGTTTACTCTGTCCAGGCTTGGATTGCTGTGAAGCTTTCCTGGCCCATCTCTTGGTGGCATCTGACTTACAGAGCTACACTGGCAAAAAGCCCTGATGCAGATACAAATTGCTGTCTTGTTCCAGTAGTTCATAGGGTTTGGAGATAAGTTGTTTGCATAGAGGTCCAATCTGTCTCTCGTGCACTATGCTTTGCCAGAAGGATATGCTGCAAGAGCTCCTAAACTATTATCTGAGCTCTGTGGTCCATGAAGTCATGATGGATATTTTGCAACAGGTCTGTGGAGCCACACACTGGACAGTTATTGATTTTGAAGTTCAGTTTGGCTCTTGGTGACCTCTGGGAAATGCTGAGGGGGAGTAAAGAGGTTGTTGGTGTTGTACCATTACTCTTCACAAAAACAAGGGCTAAGAAAGGCAGGTTTTTTGATAAATATACTGAGTCTACCTATCTCGCACATCACATTTTAATTCTCCTATAGCATCCTGCCACAGGCCCTGCAGTGAATTTCTGTGTGGTACCAGTCATATCTTTTTTCTTTTTCATTTTCTTGCTTTCTCTTTTTTCTCTTTTCTTTTTCTTTCACTTTCTCTTCCCACCCATCAACCTTTATATTTTCTTTCTTATTGTCAATGATTCTAATCTGTTTCATCATCAGAAAATATCCTTCATGTCCACATCACCTCCCTAAGTTTACAGCTACCATCCCAGCAAAACTATCTTGTTGGCTAAACTTCAGCAACAGGCAAACTGCTGTCTTTGGATTCCTGACTCTGAAGCAGTGGGGAACAAAAGGCTCACACTGACATTCCAAATAATCACTGGCTCTTGAAACAGCAATGTCTAGATTAATATATTGGTGCTGAAACTTCCACTACTTTCCTGCAAGCAAAACAGATGTCAATTTAGATGTTTTTTGCCTGTGAGAACATCATGGTATTTTTATACTGAGAATTTATCGGTCCTTCTCTGTTGGGCTAAAGGCTGTTCAGTGTGTCCTCTTGGTAGGTCATACTTATGAGCAGAGATTGCTCTGCTAGATTTGTAGGCCTTACTCTTGGCTTTATCCCAGTTTACTTTTATTTACTCTGTTACCATCTTTTCCTGTTCTCTCTGTGGCCAGCCCAACGGGGAGCCAAAGAAGAATTCCATTCCAGTCATAGGGGTAATGCAGGCTTCTTTACAGGCTTGCGAACTCAGTTTTATGGACAGTCGTGGAGTAACAAGATAAATATGAACTCTCCTTGCCATTTACTGGCTATATTAATATATTGATTACTCACTGAAATGGTATGGCCTTTAACACTGAGCACAGTGGGGACTGCAATAAAGCATGGCTGAATGCTTGCACAGTCCTGGTTCTCATTTGGCTCCAGTCTGGGTTGCAGCAGATGATGCGACAGGGCAGATGTTTTTCCTCCTTTCACTGGGTGATTTTAACCAAGTGCAGGATGTGTAGAGCACTGCTTCTAAAATATTGGTTAGATCAAAAATTAGCTGGGTATTGCTTGCGCAAGTTTGAGTAACTATTTTGGGTCACCTCCAGGGCTTTGTCACAGGTCTGTGTGCCTGGAGGTTTTGCTAACAGTCTTCAACAGAGGCCTCTGAAACATGCTATCTCACTTGGAGGCCACAGCAGAATGGCAGGGTGTTAGATGGGAGTTATTGGGTGGGCTGGATCTGGTGTGTGGACCATCAACTGGTCTGAACTGGGAGCCTTTTTTTTTTAATAAGTAGTTAGTTTGTGTTCCTGGGGACAATGCAACAGTTTTTGTTGGTGTTCTTGTTGCCTGGGTTACCCCAAATCCACCTATCAATGGTCACTTGTTGCCAAACTCTTCCCCTGCTGTGTTTCATTTGCTCACAGCAAAGTCCTGATGACTTTGTGGGACTGAACTGAATGCATGGAAGAGCCCTTCAGCCACACAACAGCAATGTTCATTGTCTGCATTGACAGAAAGGGTACATAAATTATCTACTGCCCTCCCAGAGTCTATTATGTTGATTAATATCACAAAACCCCACATAAATCTTTGATACAACACCAAACAAGGAGCAATAGCTCTGATGCGCTTAGCTGTGGTACAAGAGAGTGGATGTGCCTATCATGGGGTATTTTTCTATGCCTGTGAAGAAAAGCTTGCAGAACTAAATGGCTAGCCGGAATATACACAATAGCTTAAGCAGTGTCTAATATGATACTGCATGAGAGAAGTCATCTATTTACTGTAGTGTTTTCCTGCCAATAAATTTAGGTCCAGCTGCTTTAGAGAAAGATGCCAGGAGCCTGACAGGGAGCAGAGATGGTAGCACCTGCCTGGCTGGGAGGCTTTCTTGTAATTTTTTGGTACATTAGGCTGCGACAAGCCTCAAACTTTCACAAGGGTCTTCATCTGCCTTTTTCAGAAAGCTCAGAGCATTAAGTTTGTGCATTTCTCTGTTCACTATGATTATCTGTACCAGATGCATGTTACTGACCATAGATTAATGGGTCAGGGTTTTGTTGCTTTAAGTTGATCAAATTTTTTATTTCTAGATAGAAAGGTCTTTACATGTGTGCCTTATAGATTTCCTTTCTCTTCCAAAGGTGCTTGGTCAAGCAGGCCTCATCCAAGAAGTATCGGTACTGTTTTAAGTTCTTGGCTTCATCTTGTGCCCAGTTTCACAATGCTACTTCAAAACAAGCTCCTTTGCTCCTGCATGTATTTATTGAGTGAAGCTCTACACGAAATTGTAACTAGATCTGATCAATGTCCTAAATACACATCAGATACTGAGAAGGGAGGATAGCAATGAGAAACAAAATAAGCTATATTTTTGTCTTCAGTATACACATGCACACACACATTTTAGATATAAAATACACAGATGTATGTATATTTCAGTTTTTTAGTTGAACAAAATTTTCAGTTGTAAGGTAAAATATTTTGCTTTAACTTGGGGCACCCCAATTTTGCCCAGGACATTTGGAAAAGGGAAAGATTCAAAATCACAAAGGAACATAGACGTTATTGGCAAAATA